CGGTGACTAGCCCAGGTGCTCATCAGGCTGCTGAGCTGCAACACGGTTGTGAGCACAGATGATGCAGGGCCCTTAGCAGAGCCTGGGAAAGTGCATGGCCATGCCCCCACATTTGGGACAGGGGGATGCTGACCCGCGTTTCTCACTGGGCTCCTTTCTAAGCCAGCAGTGAATGCTGCAGTGCCCCCACATTTGGGACAGGGTGATGCTGACCCGCGTTTCTCACTGGACTCCTTTCTAAGCCAGCAGTGAATGCTGCAGTGCAGATGAGATGAATGGAAACCGCACCATAAGGAGTGGGGTCTGGGTGCTTTTTCTCCTCCCAGGCTCTGCTGTTCCACTATAATCTGCTGTCTTTCTTTAGGATCTGCTGAGAGAGAAGTTGCGCTTAAAAAATTATTTGCTCAAGGATTACAAGAAGAAGCTGCAGCAACAGCTCAGGCAGGTGCGTACAGCAGTTGAGGAGAAGCAGGGACTAGATGGCTCCTTGAAGAACGAAAGGAGTATAGCCCAGTGCAGATGCAGGGCCTGCTCTGTGTAGAGATGCATGGCCCTCCTTCTCCTCCCCTTTCTCCTTTGCTTCTGGCCTTGCTGCCTTTGTCAAAGAGCATTGTCATCTGCCCAAGTTCAGGCCTGGCACATGTCTGCGTGCATGGGATGAGACCAGAATTCTCACAGAGTGGAAGCTGGCAGATCTCTTTGTGCCCTGGAAAAGATGTCTGGTGGATCAGAGCAGTTCCCTGGGGACTGGCTGCTGCTAACATGGCAGGAGCCTCGCCAGAGGGGACCTGTCTGCACTGCTTGGACCGTCTAAGCTAGGACACAGAGCACAGGCTCAGTAGCACGCTGTGTCTTGCATTTCTCCCCGAGCCCCAGGTTTGCAGCCAGGCTGAAGACCCTGTTCTTTAGGTCTGCTTTCCCCACAGAGCAAAGCTGTCTCACTTGGGATGCAGCTTTGGTCAGCAACCTACAGCTCTGCTTCCTTGGGGTTTGCAGAAGGAGCAGATGGGAGAGACACTCCGTGAGGTCCGTTTGCAGCAGCTGCAAGTTAGAAATGCCCAGTACCAGGAGAAGATTGATGAGAAGAACCAGGAGCTGCTGCAGCTAAAACTGACCTCAGGGAAGACTGTCCAAGTCCTCAACTTCTATAAAGTGAGTGAACCTCCGAGCACCTCCATTTTGCCTTTCTTCTGTTTCTGAGGCTCACGCACGAGCTCTTGCATCCTTCCCTTTCTCAGTCAGAGGATGCCGAACACCTCTCTGCCTTCCCACTGACTTAGCAGTTCAGTTGGGAGTTTTGCCTGACACACCAAGAGCAGCAATGCCCTCATTCATGTTTGGCTGCAGCCTGATGATGGGGTTCATGCTTTGCAGCATGGTTATTTTACACCCCCGGGGAAAATTGCAGTAGGAAAGAGCTTTGGTGCTGACTTGCACAGGAAAATACATTTTTTACATAACCTGTGACATTTGAAAAAATGTCATGAGCTGCAGCCATCCCTCTGAGTCTCTGCTCTTATCAGTGAAAAGTGCTTCTCAGCTGGGTCTATTTGCTTCTCTCCGATCAGCCATTCTGTCTGGGTTAGTCCTAAACCCTGGCTGCTGTGCTGCAGTGTGACACAGAGGGCATAACGAAGCAGTAGCTGCGTGACCAGGGCATGATGCAGTGCCTTCTGCAGGGGATGAGCAGTGCCGCAGAGCTCCCTTGGGAGCAGAGCTCCCACACCGCCAGCTGAGACCAACCTGGAGGAATAGAGGGGTGGCTTTGCAGGTGGCTGGGAGCTGCCACTGCGCCCGCTGATGCTGTTCTGCTCTCATGTTCCAGAGGAAGCTGCAGGATGCCCTGGTAACATCCACATCTCTGATGAAAGACATCTCCCAGAGCAAGGAGCTGCTGGGGAAAATTGAAAGAGAAGCTGCTCTGGTGGAAGAGGTAAGAGAGCGATTTGGGAGGCCCTGAGACTTCACTTGGGAGGACTCTTTTGAGGTACTTTTTGTGGCATATTGGATACCGATGCCCATTCGAGGCCCAGCAATGAGCTGGATACCTGTGTGCCTTTCTGGGGCTAAGCAAGACCCAGGGCTCCTGCCGGCGCCAGTGAGCATGGGCAGGTTTGCAGAACAGGTCATGTTGTGAATTTTGGCCCTGGCTCCACAGGGACCTGCCACTGGTTTCTTGAAATTCTGTTTCCATGAACTTTTCATCAGCAGTGTCCTCCCCAGGGAGAAGTGGCACTGCTGTCATACCCATCTGGGGTGTGTCCCCCCCCACCGGCAGGGATACCACAGCTTCTGGAAGCGGGTTCAAGGGGCTCCCTAGCAGTACTGCCTGGCAGGGGTGGAGGCACTGGGGGCTGCATCCCACTGCTCCCCCACAGTGCCGGGGGTTTAATTTATCCTGCCTGCCTGCTTCCCTGGAGGACTGGCCACGAGCTGGCAGAGGGACATTTCCTGGGACCTCCTTGCCCTCTGTCCCTATTCCTCCAGCAGCAACGAGCTGAAGCTGAGAGTGTGAATTGGCAGCTGCGGAAGCAGCTTTCAGACTACTGCGTCCCCCCTGTGCTGAGTTACGTGCAGAAGAAGATGGCTGTTACTGACCTCGAAAACAGCCTCAAGGCTTGGGAGAGGAAGGTGGCAGTTGCCGAGGTGAGCGAGACCGGGCTGGGTGTGCGGGAGCCTGGGCGTGTGCCAGCCGGGTGCTGGGTCCTGGTGGAGCCGCATCTGTGCCTGCCCACCTGCAGCCACCCTGGGGACCAGAATGCTCACTCCTGACCCGCCAGGAAGCCATGTGAGAGTTCTCGCACGGTGGTTTCACTGGTGCCTGGCAGAGCCGGAGGCTCTTCCTGTTTACGGAGCAGTGATCACTCCCTACCCCGAGGACCGGGGTAGAATTTTAATGACTGAGCTCAGAGGGGAAGCCAAGGCAAAGACACAGCTTGTAATTTGACAGGAAGCACCATCGGGCTGTTGCTATACTGAAACTTGTTGTGTGTGTAAGGAGAAGGGGACGTATGGCAGTCCGATATGTTTCTGGCTCTGCATATGTAGCCTGCACCAGCCTTTTCCAGCACCCTTGATGGCTCCTCAGTGTTTGTAGTCCTTTTTGATGATCTCGGACATTTCTTACTCACTTGTATCTTGACTCTTCCCTGATAAGGGAAGGCTAGCCAAGATCCAAACATGAGTTCATGGCAAAGTTGCAAGAATATCTTTGACTCTCCTCCTGACCCAACTCCTGCAGCCTGGGAGGAGATGGAGAGATAACACAGAGGAGCATAGTCAAAGCCTGGAGGTAGCAGGACATGTCTGTATCCCTGCCCCATGCAGGATGTCTGTGTGCACAGCAGTGTGGGGAGAGAAGTGGCTGGGTTGGATGGGACGGATAGCGTGGTCCTGTACCTTGACACCCTGTTCGTCCTCGAGTGGAGATGGGCTTATCTGTGGTTGGGACGGGGAAGGCTCTGGGCTTGCACCTGTCCAGCACTTAGCCCCCCAGCACCCCAGTCCGCAATGGACAGGGCTTATGTGGTCCAGCCTTTCTCAGAGGTCAGAACTGTGTGGATTTGGGCTTGACCCATCAGTGCCAGTGCTGTAAGTTCAGAAATATGGGTCTGGCTGTGGCTGTCCCAGAGCTGCAGGGCAGCCTGCCTGCAGGCCTGTCTTTGCACAAGGAAATCCCTTCTCACCCAGCTGCTCCCCTTGACCGGGAGACCCAGGCTCTGGCTTGCATGCTGTCTATGCAGCAGTGCCCAGAGTCCTGCCAGCCTCTGGGAGCTGGAGAGCTTAAAGAAGGAACCTTTTAGTTGTCCCAGTTGACCCTGGGATAAGAGTGAGGCTATAAACCTGTTTTCTTTGCCGGCCCCTCTGTGGCAGGGCATGTCCAACACCCCCGCTGCCATGCAAGGGGCTGTAGGTTTCTATACAGTGCTGTTGTCAGGGGTCTCCAGGCTTCCTGTGGCATTCAGGGGAGAAACCAAAGCTGGTGTAGACCTCCAGGAGCTATCCTCAGCATGCCACAGCGAGCACTGATCTCAGGTGGGAGCAAGGGGGGATGAAGGGGCAAGCAATACAGCAGGTCAAGCCAGGCTAGATTCCAGCCTTGCAGTTTTCTCCACAACATATCACTGCTGTCTGAACATATTAAGGCCTTCTCCTTTCTCCTCTTGCAGATGTCCTTGCAAAGCTACCGCAGAGCATGGAACCAAGTCAAGATGTCTGGTAACCAGCACTAGGCTTGTTGGATGCTGCAAGGCAGGCAGTGGAAGCTGCAGAAGGAGCCAACTCTGTGGAGAAGTTTGCTGTCAAGTGGGTAAATGTAGCACCCTGCAAGCTGCCGTGAGATGAAACCACTTCTGCATGAAATGATAAAGAAACCCATGGCTCTGTTGTGAGGCCATCTCTTTGGTCTGTCCCAGCTCTGCTGCCTGGCCCCTCCACAGGCTCTGCTAGGTCAGCCAGCTCTGCTCTGGGTGCTCCCCCCTCCCTCCATCACCACAAGCAGTTATTCTCTGGTGATCAAATCTGACGTGTTCACAGGAACTGTCCTTTCTCTCTGGGCAAGCCCGGGTGAATCACTTAATGCAGGAGGAACCAGAGGGGATTCCCTGGGAGGTGTGGGAGTTCAACATGTCCGAGCATGCACTGACAATAGAAGAGAGCAGAGCAGTGTGAGCATATAGGGCAAATCATTGGCATACGTGAACCAAGCAGGCTTTCTGACCACAAAAGGATACTTTATCTACCTAAAGAAACAAAACAGCAAGAAGGGAGCAGCTACCCCTTTCCCAAGCACCAGGGGCAAGTGTAAGTGTCCCTTGGAGATTGGAAACATTTTCCCACTGCAGGAGTTATAAATCATCTTAGATGGCCCAGCCTTAGATGAGTTCAGGTCTGTCTTTCTCTTCCTGGGGTTGAAACCAACTTCTGAAATATCCTCACTGCTGGTCTGGAAGCCTCTTCCCTGTCTTTGGGTGGAGCCTGCAGATTAGCTCGCGCCCTGACTAGCGTGGAGGTCCTATCCTCTCGGTGGTGGCCAAGATCCAGTCACTGTAGTAGGACACTGGAGTGTACTGGAACGGTCCGTAACATCTCATGCTGCCCGCACTGAGAATGCCTTTCAGGACCCATTTCTCAGTCCCTCTAATCTGGCACATGACGGGGTTGCCGGCATCGCCCTTTTGAGAGACAAAAAAGCCAGGGTTGTGTCTCAGCAGTATCCCTCCTGCCATCACTCTCAGTGGCTCTGGACTCCACCAGGGTGAGAGGAGGGCAGATCACAGCAGTTCAGTCCTTTATCATCACTGGCAGCAAAGCACCACTGATGCAGGGGGCTGGCTGCCTTTGGGCTGATGATGTCCCTGTGTGCCCCAGATGAAGTGACCGGCATCGCTCCCTGTGGCTGCCCATGCGCCCATCAGCCCAGCCTCATGCCTGATCCTTTGGAATGTACCACAAGGAACCCCTCTCGGTTTTGCCTCCCGAGCATCTTTGATCCTGGCCACATCAAAGGCCCTTGGAGGCCCCGGCAGTAGGAGAGGTCCAGGGACCAGGAGCAGCACCCGCAGGCCTGCAGGGAGACCGTCACCCTGCAGCTAATGCAGAGATGGGTGTCACACATTCAGTCTCCCACGCCTGCTATTTGCAAGCTGTGCGGAAGGAATCTTTTCCTGTAAGGACTGAGCAGGAGGAGCCCAACAAGTGTTTTGGCTGCTCTCCCAGCCTGGAGTCAGAGACGAGCAGAACACGGAGGAGGCAGTTTGGCTAAATGTCTGCCTGGTCTGGGTTGGCGCTCTGTGTCCCTTACCAAACAGCCTGCCACTTTGTCAGCGTCCCTGTGGCTGCAGCATGCGGTTGCAGCGATCCTTTTCAGCGGGCAGGGATCCACGTCCACCACAGAGAGAACCCTCAGGAAGTCGCTGCAGCACTTTCCCCTGCCTGGTCGAGGGACCACTGCGAGCCTGTGGCTCTGGGCAGTCCCTGGCCTTCAAAAAACAGTTATGGGTGACCAGTGGGTGCTTTTTCCTCCCAGGACAAGCCCTGTTCCCCTTCCTCCCATCGGGGCTGTTGGCAGGAGGGAGTGGGAAGACGGCTCTCTGCCCTGCCGGAGGGAGCTCTTTGCTGCAGGAGCTGGGGGTTACCTGCAGTGGGATGGATCCAGCCTGAGACCCAGCAGTTCACGAGGTCTGAGGCAGAGAGGCTCCCATGGGGGAAGCAGATGGGCTGAAGAACGCTGCTGAACTCCAGTGGGGCGGCTGTACTGAGCAGAGCGACATTGTTGTAGAGCGTCACCTCATCAAAATCCTTGTGGGGGATGACAGAGCTCATCGAATACTGGGGCTGGTCCTCCCATCACCTCTTCATGGCGCTCAGCCCAACCAAGGCCAGCACCTGCTGCCTGCGGGGGGTGGACGGAGGGGACTGGGTGCAAGGAAAAGCCTGGGGCAAACTCTGCCTGCCCCCGCTTTGACTGAAGGATGCTCGCCCAGCTGCTGGGCAGCGACAAGACCCTCCTGAGCACTGGGAGGTGGTGTTATTCCCTGCTGATTCCCAAGGAATTCCTGGGGTGACGCAGGGTCCCTCACAGAGCACAGACCTGTTCCACAGGCTGGATGCGGCGCTGAGAATCCAGTGCTGGTTCAGGATGGAGCCAAAGGCCAGGAGGTTGCGCTGTGTGTCCTGCAGTGCCACCACCCACAGCAACTGGTCTGTGGCCACAAACTCCTGCCCTGATCTCCAGGGGAACGGGCTGGCCTGGATCCCACAGGCTGCAGGGAAACAGGGAGCACGTCGCTGGGTGCACCTGGCCCTATGCTCTCCCGACGCCCTCCTCTTGACCCTTGCTGCTATCCCGAGCTTTGACCTTGCCTGGGACAGATGCCAGCATCACCCAGGCTCGCTCACCCACAGCGCCGAGCTTGTGGCATGGCGTGCGGTGCATGAGGGTCAGATCACACCACCTCTCTCACCTGATGCTGGGGTGGCACAGAGACACAGCAGCATGAGGCTTCGCATTGCCCCAGCCGGACAAAGAGCTGGGGCTGGGGAGCCAGGACCCCCCTTCTCTGCCTGCCTGCAGTGAGACGGGGAGTCAGTGTGGTGGGCGCCAGCTGGCAGCCAGCCCCGAGGGGCTTGGCGTGCCCATGCTGAGCGCGCCGGGCCAGTTCCTCGCCCTGGTACGTGGGCGCTGCATGTCCCAAGCACCCTGGCAGTGGGCAGGGACACAGGGAAACCCAATGGGCCCACCCCCAGCTCCCCAGCTCCCACCCACTCTCCACAGGCCTCATCCTGCCGCTCTCTGACTGCTCCATC